TAGCCCACCCCTATGTCGCGTGGTCCTACACAATTACAATTCGAGCAGCTGAAATCTCACAGCGTCTTCGCTTGTTTATAGTACTCTCACAGCATCCCATTCTTATTTATCCACGGATGTAGGTGATAGATGACATTCAGCTAATCGTGAAATCTGGCTTCGAGTTTCAATTAGAGACCACTTTTCACAGTTTAGTTTGAAGTAACAACCCTAGATCAAACTGGTGGGAAATTGCGGATGTCAAGCTGACTGAAAGTGAGACGAACCAAAGCGATTCGCTGATGAAGCCATTAACAAGCGTCCCTTCTGTCCTCTCTTCTGAAACAAGGAATGGGCGGGGCCGGACGAGTTGTACGAACTTGCTTGCTCCACGGCTCCATTAACTCCGCGCGCATTTGAATGAGCCGCTACGCCGTAATCCACGTTGCGTATCATGGATGTGCACGAGGTATCTCGTCCGTAAGTTCACATTAGTCGCCATCAGATCACTTTGTAAGACCCTAGCGCCATTGTCGCGCACTTTCGAGCCGCGACAGGGACACATCTATGATACGTGGGCTACGCTATCCCCACACACAGAATAGAATTCGACATGACCTCACTGTAGTTGTTGTTCTAAGTTCAAACCCTCCATGTTCTTTTAGAAAAACTTGTATAGCCATCTTGGCTCAAGCCCTTTCGGCCGCACACACCCTTCTAACAATGAGTAAAAGTAGAGCGAAAGGATTTCTTTATCTTCTGACATTTTCGATTCCGAGTAAATAATCACTAATCCTATGAATGCTTAACTGACAAACGATCTCCTACTCAGTGACTCAAGCTATGTTTACAATGACATAAATTATTACTGACAATGGATCCAACTCAAAAATGGCTAAGTAAAGTATACTATCTCATTGCAGTTTCATAGTAAGTGACCAGGCAGTGTTCAGACCTCCATTTTGGGTGAATCTGTGAAGAGGGAAGAAGTTGGAGGACCACGAGTGGAAGAGATACAGTGATTTGCTCAGGCGTAGTGGCTGAGAGGGAGAAGGGCGAGAGTAAGATGAGTAGTAAAATGCAAGTGAACCAATCTAATCATGGAATGGTCATGACTGTCAAAAGCGCAGGAGGAAGGAAATTTTTTAGATATAGGGACCCTCGCCGGCAGTGCGATCAATAGGTATACTTTCCACTGCCATAACATCACTGAATCACTCAAAAGGAGGTCCGGACACGGCCTTGTTTTGTTTATTCACTTATGCTGTTCGATCTTCCGGCGCAGATCGTCCTCAAGGCTTCCTTCGACAATATCCTAAAAGAAACTATCCGTTTAAGCTGTTTAAAAAATGGGATAAAATGAGGATCTGGTAGCCAAGATATGCTACCGTAACCAGAGGATATCATGGCTTGAGAGCTAACTGAGGTGGAAGACGCTAACACTCCAAAGGAAGCAGAATGCGTGGTGCCATATATGTACCAGGCTAGTCTCGCGGCGCCTATGTCTTCTCGTCATTCTATACTATCAGCTTGCCTGGACGGGGGAGGAGTTGTGGAAAGATACGAAGAACAAACGGCATCCATCACCGTTGGAAGCATAATACACGCTAATCATGAGGATGGAATGGTACCTTACAGATGGTCGCCCTCGATCGTTTCAAGGATGCGGTAAAGAAGGAAGTCAACCAATTGAGAAGAACGCTCTCACTCAAGTATCAGCGCCTTCATGCTTTCGTAAAGCTGCTAATTGCTCTTTTGACTCCCAAGCTGCCACACCCAGTACGTCGATTAAATCATTGCAAGCGAGGCACTCCGCCTCTTTTCCTCCCCACCTTCCTGTCCCACAACCCTTCTCCCCCTGCTGCTCTTTCTCTTTCCTCCCCTCCTCCCTCCACTACAGCTGTCAAGGCAGCACCATGTAAGATAGCTTGTTCGCCCCCCTTTCTCCTCTTCCCTCCTTTCCTTCCTCTTCCTCTTTCTCTCCAATCTACTGCCCTCCCTCTTTCTTCCCCCTCGGCCCAGCTGCCACGACAGAACCGTGTAGAACGAGGCTGAGTGTTCAATCGGGTTTTACAGCCGTGGGAGTGTTATCATAATCATGGCATCAACACGAAGCGTAGCCTTCGAGCTCTCCGGTTCTGTTAGCGGTCGGTCCGAACGGACAAAACGACATACACACAGACAAACGACACACCAAAGTTTCGTTATACAATAGGCAGTGATGGTAGTCATGATCAACAGCTCATCAATAGCATACGCGAATCATTACGTTGCAGAAACTATCACACTTTGGTTAAAACTGGTCATCGGCCGGGGTTTTCGGTCTGCATTGAGTTTCACTCAACTGCCATAGTCGTGACAGGCCGTTCGTGTTTAGGGTTTTTGCAGAGTCGAATCTTCTTTTTCCTTTGGTGTATGGAATTACCAAAGAGTTAAACGTCCAACATTCAAAACAGTTTGCAGGGGCCGTATGGCAGTGGAGAGAAAGGGGATCGTTTTTGACGAGTTTTCGATGATCGATGGAAACTTCACGGAAGATGCATGAAATAGGCGAAATTTGAGCATTTGTTGGTTCTCTTGCATTTCTACCCCACCTTCCTCCCCCTCTCCAACTACTCTTCCCGCTGAGCCGTTGTAGGAAACGTGGGCGAGTCTTCGCGTGCGATTGTCCAGAACAAACATATTGGTGTAGCCACGGCGGCGAGTTAGTGTGGAGGATACCGTATAGCGACCCTCAAGGCTGCTGATGTAGAGTGTCTCGTTGAGGAAGGGGCGGAAAACTTTAAACTTGCGAACGACGGACGTTGTTCCTCTTGCAGACGCGAAGTTACTTGGCAATCACGACAGGGCCAGAAAATCACCTGAATAACTATACGATTTTCTCGCAGGAAGGATTTTTGCCTTGGACACCCTCCTAGTTGAAGTGTGGAGACATCGCGGAGAGGCAGCCTGCGCTTTCAGAACAATGAAATGCCGTACGAGTGAGCGCCTTTTGCGCATATAAAAATAACGTCGCATGAACTTTTTTTGAGTCGGAAAACGTGACACGACGCTCTGAAAAATTTTGCTCCTCAGCAGAGAGAAATAAGATCAAGCAGTCACCTAAAACAGTTACTTCTGATTACTTACAGTCTCGTCAACGTCAATCTTCACAAAAACCACAGATGGATACTCATTCGACATCTTCTGAAATGTACGTATGAATAGAAGCTCTGGACGATAACGGGTTTCAGTGTTAGCTAATAAGAATATCGCCAGATCTGGTACGCAACGTTCCGCTGCGATGTTGCTTAGCGTCACCACTATCACCACACATAGTATGAACAGAGACCTGACAACACGCCCGTCGCAGGGCGGAAAGGCAGAGACGCAGACGGGTTGCAGCGCATACTGTAGCAATTTCGCACGCGAAATAGAATGGGCACAGGACGCCCCACGTCGCACAACACGCGCTGTGACTCATCTGGTGACCAGGGTGAATATTGGCCTGAGGATTCCTCAACGGCACGTCGAGGATTTTCGCCTGATCCTTTACGTTCTCGCGCGCGGATATTCACTCTCGCCACCCGCGAGCCGTCTGTGCTCTCCGCGCGTACATTCACTATCGGCTCTACTCTCGCACAGCAGAGAGCGATGGTCGAGGAATTCATTCGACCGTTATCCACCCTGGGCGATCCGTCCGCGTCCCGAGTGCCCAACAGGAGACCCGTCGCACGGCGAGAGTCATTCAGTGGACGAGTCGCAGCGCATACTGTAGGGTTTTCGCGTTTAAATAGAATGCACCATGCCGCGGGCGGGCCTCCTGTCGGGTAACCTATGATGAATACCTCATAACCTGATGTTACAACGGGCACAACATGATTTTGTCACAGAGCGCTTTATTGTACCCGTATTACAGCGGCTAGACAGTGAATCAACTGATGCCCAAATATACCCTATGTTTTCAAGAACTGCTGTAGAATTTGTATTGTATAAAAGCGAATCGATCGCTACTCAGGAAAACATCGAAGTATGAGTTGTTCAAGACTTACGGTGAATTTCGGTCCCATAATCTTGCATGGTCCGCACCATGTCGCGTAGAAGTCGATGACAATTAGCGCGTCCGCACTTTCGTTCAATAGCTGATCGAACTCGTCCTGGAATTTTGATCATGAAACAATCTAGATGAAGTACAACTTCTCGTTAGAAGTTCAAAGCCTGGTCTGATTTTGCAAAGACATCTTTATTGGAAGTTCCGCGTTAGTTGAGTCGGTAGCTGCTCCGGGTCGGCTTCCCACTCCTGGCTGTTGCAGCTGTTTTAAACTGGTTGCAGAACCCACTAGTAACTTACAGGTTCACATTCGCACCTCGCTACGAGTGACAGAAATTCTAGAAAGCGCTTGGCTCACGCAAGAAAAGTGGGAGAGATTAAAGGTACACTCCGCCAGTGGATCATCCAACCAGTCGTTTCCTCGAATGAGTTGTTGGGACAGCAATAGCAGAGAGCAAGGTCACCTTTGTTACTCAAAATGCGTCGAGAGGAAACTAGGGTCTTAAAGCTTGCAATCCTGGCCATAGAAGAACACGCACCTCCTGCGTTGCCTGGTGCCTCGCTCTTCGCTATGCTCCCGCATCTTCGTGCGTCGTTCTCCCACCTTGGCACCCAGTGCCTCTTCGAGTATTTATTTCCCAGACTCTTCTACCTTTCAGAGAAGGAGGGGCTTATTGAGGACATTTAGTAGTTTTGTATCTATTTTGCTTTACTTGCAAGACAATTAGGTAGATGCCAAGATGGCGGCTTGGATTGCGTCCGCATAGTCAATGTTGCCCCGACCTCCTGAGAAAGGTCGCGACTTCTCAATGGATCAACATCCTTGCTAATTTGTGCTAAACCAGTAAGCCACTCTGCATCACACTAGCCGCTTGATTCATTTGCCGGAGTGGAGAAATGGATAACCCTGTTATGTTCGTTGAAGACATCCCCTGGTTTAATGGGTTCAGTGTTCAGCTTTACGGTCTCCTCTGGTTTAGAGAACAGACTCCTAGACGATAATCACAGATGTGGCACTCTCGTGCATGGAAAGAGCCTGACAAGAACTAAGGTTTTGCGAAGTCAGCTTCAATAGCTTCGATTTTTTTCGTCACACAGCAGTCTGTTGTCTGGCGCCCTCTCACTTATTTCGCTGTCTCGACTAGTGCTCCTCTCCGCGCCCAGTCTCTCATTGATTCAGCAATCTTATCCTAAACGTTTGACAGATTTTTTCTTCTCCTCTTTGCTGGCGGCCCGAATCGCGTCAATACCCTCATATTCCTATGCGAAACCACACCAGTTTGATCCTGGGAGATGCCTTCAAAGGCGTAATTCGTTCTGAGAAGAGAACCCCATTCAGGTTAAGTTAAGGATAGTCAATGAAGGAAGGAAAAACCATTAGGGACGGCCCAAAACCCGAGAAATGGGATGCCCTTGATTTCCGCATTGATGCGACTCTCATCGCGCTCTCTCTGCTATGTCGGTGGGCGTACCGCGCCAACTGCGCCAAGAGTGAGCCATGCTAGATCGCCGAGGTCAAATCTTTCGCTGCCAATTGCGCGTCGGTCCGCACCCTCAGGAGGTCCGCCTCCCAACTAGTAATTTTCCCTTCTTTGACCTTCGTTCTTAGCGTGGAATCCTTGAATGTCTAGGAGACGCTTTCCCACCGGTGCAGAAAAAAGCGAACTGCTCATTGCCTCGCATGATACGGTAATGACGTCGACAGGTGAGGGAATAATGAAATGGCGTACCTACCTGGAAACTGTCCCCATTAATCAAATTTTTAGGTAGCTGCAAAAAGTCAGCATGTCTCAGGTTTCTTTCGACCGTAGTTAAGTCAGCGTTCTTGGTTTCTGAGTAACGTTCACTAACAATATTAGTCTTACCGCTCCTTTTTCATCGCAAAAAGTACAACATTATGGGAATGTATGAATACTGTGATCGCTACCTACAAGCGGTCCTCTCCCTACCCTGGTTCTACAGATCGAATTGTCTCTCGCAACAAGGCTGTCGTATCCATGACAACAGCTTTGACAAGCCGATTCACACCGATACAACATTCATCACCATGAGAACGGACAGTGCTAATGCTAGGCGGCGTGTGATCTTCAGCATATCAACCCTGAAGATTACCTGGACCAAAGACGTCGTCAAGGAAGTGTAGACGTTTCAAGTGAGCCTCGACACCCACTTTCCCGGAATGCAACGGCAAATTGAGGCCCTGCGCTCAATGGCCTTCTTAGCGTCCGCTCTATCAGTTCATAGAGACCTAGATCGCTATTGGGATACAGTAGGATATACCACGCAGAACCCTTACTTGGGAATGAATGGAAAGGTTTAATAAATGTTTTTGGTTCAATTCCTATGGTGCGGTAGCGAGCTCGAAGACGAGGACGTACAGCTAGCTCGGTACTTAAGACGCCCTAACGAATCACGCGGAATAACACACCCGGGTGGATGAAAGGCCCAGCTGCCAGGGATCCGGTTTGGGACAGAAAGACAACTACTTCCTCCTTATGTGAATCTTGGATTCATGGCGCGCTAATTTTGAGTAC